GCTTGTAATAACATTTCTCTGTTCTACAGGAAAATGTTCCCTCCCTTGCCACAGTAATAAAAGTTGTTCCAACAGCAAATAATGGTTCACCCGAGTTGCTTAACCTTCACCATGAGCAGGTGAGCATGTGGGAAAATCTAGAACTCTTCTATTTACATTTACATAGCCAACTGTTCTGTCATGGCAACACTGACATTAAAGCTGACTAACAAGAATAAATTTAAACCTGCGTTGAACAACTGAGGGCTGGGAGCTACCAAGAGACTATGTTTATGTGATATGTCTTGCTCAAGAACAAAAAATGGCACTCTTGAATCAACTTGTCAGGCAAATCATGAACTGAGATTCAGGTTGTCTTAAGGCACAAGTCACTGCCTCTACTCTAGAGTGGACACCTACACTAAGCTATGCTACTGATTTTTCCCAGGGATAGATGAACCTTTTATTATCAGGTAGATCTAGTAGCAAAAAATCCTTCCTACCCCCTATACCACATTTTGGAATAAGAAAGTTCCACTGCCAGTCAAGGTTCCTTTTCACAAGCAAGAATTATTGACCTATCTTAACCTTACCTTTTTCCTGCCTGTTTTGAAAACCTCTGGACGTTCCATGCCTAGATGTTATGTACCTCAGCCTAATGTCTTGTTTGTACTTTACAGGAAAAAGAAACACAAAAACAGGTTATTTGGTTCAATTTTCAAAAGACAAAGTATGTCTATGATAGTGAAGAAAAGAAACAATTCTGCCAGGTGGCATTTCCAATCAGTGAAGCCATGGAACATTACAACAGTTGTAAAGGTTATCAGGAAGAAGTAGAGGTTGAAAGAGCAAAGAAAAAATACGGATTGAATGAGTAAGCTGGTTTCGTCTCTGTCCGTCTGTCTGTTATTAAATTTTTGAGCACTTCACATTAGTGTTGTGTTATTGTTAGATAGTAAATTAAATTTGGGAGTTACATTGATGTTGTGTTATTGTCAGATAATACAAATGGAAATGGACAGAAAAAAATCAAATACTGCATCGGATCATTGCAGTCTCATTCAAAGCTTAAAATATTGCTCATCATTACTGATTGCCAAGTATTCTGTCATCGTAAATTGTTGACATAGCATGAGTAGTCAGTGTCCTTGGGACAATATTCACGGTTTTGTTATTTTTCTGGTCAATGGAGTTCCTGGAGAAATCCAAAGTAATAATCCTTTATTCAAGATAGTTCCTCAGAATTTGCGGTGGTGTAGTAGTTCTCACAACCTGCTTTTGTTTGGTATTGTAAGCAGCTTCTATTGTTTTTAAGTCTAAGTCATTGTTTCAATTGTTTGGTCTTTTGTTTTTGCTAGGGTAGCGAGCCAAACATATTGTATGTTACGAGAGCTGCTACATCACCCAGAATTTGAAACGTTTATTTATACTTAATAATGTGCTGGTTAGAATAGTTCTTAATTATTAATGCTCTATTTCCCAGTTCTGAACAGGAATTTATGAATTGATTATGATGAATTACGTAAGAATCCCTTACAGCCTCACATGGAAATTAAGTCACGAGTCTCTACACTAAAATGTCTTCTTTTATTATGTAGTAAAATGCTTTGATATCTAGTTTGATAGCCTGTAAACACATTTGTCTCTCGTCACACCCAAAAGGGCTTGCATTTGTGAGAGAAAGATCTTTCTCACAAGTGCCAAACCAGCCAGTAGTGATAAAAAGCAGCTGTATTTACCAGCTACTTGTAAGACATTACCAAGGGTATTTTGCAAAATAAGGTGCCAATAGTTTATCATGCAAACCTGTTTCCTTGCTATAGACTTCAGATGGATGTGCCTGAATTTGGTCAGCTATTTAAAGAAAGGGCCACTGCTCCTTTCTTTGTGTTCCAAGTGTTTTGTGTTGGATTGTGGTGTCTTGATGAGTACTGGTACTACAGCGTCTTCACTCTTTTCATGTTGGTTGCTTTTGAAGCCACCCTTGTGCAGCAGGTACATAAACTGTTGATTTTTCTGTCATTCAAGTGGATTTTTTGTGTCACTTCCCTGGCAGGCACAGGGCATTTGTGGATTTTGTATAGCAGATGAGAGCCACAGTTACATAATGGCTAGTGTATTGAACTTGAGATCAAGTGTCCAGGTTCAAGCCCTGGCTGTGATCACTGTGTTGTGTTCTCAGGCAAGACACTTTACCCTCATTGTGCCTCTCTCTATATGGGTGTATAAATTTGTACTGGCAAATTTAATGGAGGGGGTAACCCTGACTAGTGTCTCATTCAAAGGGAAATAAAAATACTTCATGCCACTGCAACTGAAGATGAGCACTGGCCTGTTAATTCATTAAGCTTGAACACAGACTTAACCTATCTATTGGCAAATGAAGTGCATGTAAGGGCCTTCTGGCTACTCCAGCAGCTAGCACACAATGACTCTGAATAATTAGTCCACAGGGTCAAGTGGAATGTTCAGTTTCTTTAAACCCTGAATTCTTACAGATATGTTTAATTCCATGAATGAACTGTCTTACTGCTTTCTTTCAGCAATTAAAAAATATGAAAGAAATAAGAAATATGGGAAGCAAGCCGTACTTGATACAGGTGAGATGAGTTGAAATTCTGGGAGATACCCTTTTGAACATTGCCATGAAATGTACCCAGTGACAGCACTGAACAAAAGAAATTCAATGATTGAGTGTGAGCTCAACTTCAGAAGAAGTTAACCTCCTGAATATAAAACTGGTTAGCTAGTCCTCCAGACTTTGGAGACATTGGCTGACCCTTGACATGTACAGATTTTATGTTACTAAAGTCAGACACATGTCCAACAAACTAAATATGTTAATGCTTTGATGCACTGGATCTTGTAGTAGTATCTAAACTAGAAATGAAGATTTTATGAACTGGATGTGTGCTTTTCAAACTTTTAAGGGAAAATGCTCTCATTGTATGTAACATGAAGGGGGTGCAAATGCAAAGGCTAAAAAACTGACCCATTTAATACCCAGTAGCACTAAACAATCTTTCTGTGAATAACTTACAGGTATGTAACATGTACATTGTGAAGAAATTACACAAAAATGTTTTCCTGTGCTCAAACAACAGGTTTACAGACATAGAAAATGGAGACCTACCTTGAGCTCTGAACTGCTTCCTGGAGATATTTGTTCCATTGGTGAGCTTAATTGTTATCTTAATTTGTTGTTAGTAAGGACTTGAAAGCAGAGATCTGTCATGCCAGTTTGTCCCTATATATTCATGTAGTTATACTGTTTCTGTACAATAACATAGCAAAGAATGATTATCATGTAAGAATATTTATTACCCTATCAGAATTAACCTCAGTATCCGACTTTCCAGAGGGGGGAGCAGGGATGGTGCAGTGGTGAGAGCACTTGCCTTCTTCCAATGTGGTGCATGTTCTCCAGGTTCTCTGGTTTTCCTCCCTCTACAAAACCAGCACTCTAAATTCCAAAAAAACAATTCTAAATTCCAGTTCAACCAGGATAGAGGACCTGCATGAAAACCAGCTACTTCCTCTCTAAATATTGTATAATTTATGTTGTGGGGAAGGAAAAACCAAAGGAAGATGATTTCATTTTATGCATTATGCTAAGAAAGGTGCAAAGCATGTATGTGCTGTACAGGTATGATAATGTCATTTCTTTTAACCTCTGTGTAGGGAGATCTAAAAACTCTGATGTATTGATTCCATGTGATATGGTATTGCTGAGAGGCTCATGTATTGTAGATGAAGCCATGCTGACTGGAGAGTCTGTGCCTCAAATGAAGGTAGAGCTCAACAATAACATACTGAATTCCAAACAGAATGCTTCAGTTCAGTTTGATTTCATTTCTACTAAACAAAGTCAACTGTGTAAATTGTTAATTGACTCAAATGCAAATTTATAATGTTTCAAATAGGAGCCAATTGAGGATTTGCCAGATGATGAAATATTTGACTTGGAGCAGCATAGTAAATTACATGTGCTGTCGGGAGGAACAAAAGTTGTGCAACATTCTCCTCCGCTCAAGACTTCTGCTGGATTAAAAGGTAACTCGACAAGTATAAAAAGACTCTTCATGACTGTGTTACTAGCAATGTATGGTGTGATGATAATGGCAGTAGGCTTATGTAGCTCTCTGTGTGGACTATAGTTGCATTATTTTATTTTCATGAACTGAGATTCATGTAGTTTGCAACTTAGTTTTTGTTTTTGCTCTTTGTAGCACCTGATAACGGAACTGTGGCATATGTCCTAAGGACTGGATTCAATACCTCGCAGGTCAGATACTTTTCAATCACCATTATAGACATGAATTTTCCAACAAAATTTTGCCACATCGTCAGGAACCACTGCACTTTTCATTCACCTACTAGTTACTAGCCACTGTAAGGTAATTAAATGCATCATGGGTAAAGTTCATTATGAAGTGATCTCCTAAAAATGTCACATACCAATGCAGTGCATAATATATATTTTATGCAATTGACAGGGAAAGTTGCTGAGGACGATTTTATTTGGTGTAAAGCGAGTCACAGCCAATAATCTGGAGACTTTTCTCTTCATCTTGTTTTTGTTGATATTTGCTGTTTCAGCAGCAGCATATGTTTGGATTAAAGGTAAGAGGACAGCACTGGTGCCAACATCATTTTATAGGGCTAAATGTAATTTAGGCGAAGTTAAAATTGAGAGTGCTGGCTAGCCGTTTCCTTCACTGCAGTTCACACTTGCTATGGGGCAGCCTTGTTACAGGGTCTCAAGTCGGTATCTTCTGTGTGATGCTGTATATACACTGTATGAGAAATCAATGTTCAAGGGACTTTCAAACTGAAGAAACCTGTGGGTGTGAAATATTTAACAAAACACTATTCCTCATGAGGAATTTCTCTGCAGTGATACATGTGCTACACAGGGATTTGGTGAACTTTGAAAAAAAGGCTCATCTAGTTTTCTTTCTTATCCAGGCACCGAAGATCCTAAGAGAAATCGTTACAAGCTTTTCTTGGAGTGCACCCTTATTTTGACATCAGTGGTTCCACCTGAGCTTCCTATTGAACTGTCTCTGGCTGTAAACTCCTCACTAATGGCTCTACAGAAACTGGGTAAGGCCACAAGAACAGTTACGTTACAACAAAAGGCTCTGATTTATTTAAAAATAAAAGGTTCAGCCCTGTGAAAAGTACTGTAAGCCTCATTATGGTTGCAAACAAAGAGTAGTGGTGTTACTGTAGTATCATCACAAGTGAAGTCTCTATATGAGATCATTGTGCATGAGCTGTGGACAGTGCACGTACATGTACATGTTAAGTCCAAGTTTACAACTAGTTGTCCCACAAACAGTACAACTGACCACCGCCAAGGACGCAATATAGGACCATGCCACAAAGACAAGGCCCAACCACGTCCTAATGAGTTAATACTTTCAGGCAGTACTGTAGCTTTCACTGTTTGTGAGATCCTGTTTGTTTTGTTTGTGCTCTGCTTGTGAGATCCTGCCTATGCACCAGCTACATCATGTACATGTATGATGTCCTCATGAGTCTGGCATTTCCTGTGGAGATGTTTTGTTGTCTTTTCAAAGCTTACTTTTTTCTTTGTTTTCCCTAGGTGTGTACTGTACAGAGCCTTTTAGAATTCCATTTGCTGGTAAAGTTGATGTGTGCTGTTTTGACAAAACTGGAACACTAACAAGTGACAACCTCATAGTACAAGGTGTAGCTGGACTCAAGTGAGTATTAGTAAAACTGTCTGTGAACTTTATCTTTAGAGAGGGGACAACGTAAGCAACTGTAGACATGATGTTCTTTAGCACCCAAAATGGCCCTGTCTTATTAAACTGTAGATGATATATTGGTGCGATTGTGGTTGTGTAGTAAAAAAAATAAATAAATATTTTGCATGGCACTGTGCAACAGCCTCACCTGTGGCATAGGCAGGTTCACATAATAAACTTTCAAATTCTCCCAATCACATTTTCATATCTCCATGCACATGTACCCTGACTGGTCTTAACTATTCAAACATGCTGGACCTTACTTCTTTCCAAGATTCACTTTTATATTCCTAACACCCTAACTTGCTACAATGTGAAATGAAGCCCTTTGCAGTGGGCTTAGGTAAAAGGTAAAGGTAAATTCTGCATGTGAGCCAAGTGGCCGATCAGACTGGTCTTTCTATGTAGCATGAAGCAACTAGGAGGATCTCTACTCCCCCCTGGATTGTATGCTAGTCCTTTGCAGGGTTACCCCCCAGCAATAATTTTGCTGGTACCCATTTATACATGGAAGTGGAGTGAGGCACTGTGAGTGTGAAGTGTCTTGCCCAAGAACACAGCACAATAACCCCAACCTGGGCTTGAACCCTGACTGCTCAATCTGGAGTTAAGCACAGTAACCATGAGGCGACCAAGCCGGCAATTGCAGTGGGCTAAGTATTCTTCTAATTATTATTATTTTAAAACTTGCAGAGATGATGATGAAGTGTGTGCAGTCAGTGATGCTCCTGACAGCACGGCATACGTACTAGCCTCATGTCACTCTCTGGCTTTCCTTGATGACAGTTTAGTAGGTGACCCTCTAGAAAAAGCTGTGTTACAAGCAGTTGATTGGAGGCTCACAAGAGGTGAGAATTAAACAAGCTTAGTGCAGTCTGGCAAACTTGTATGGTTATCCTTATGCATTCAAGAAAGCAAGTGTCATTTGTTATGGGACATAGATCTCCATGTACCCTCTGATAGTACTCACTTGTTTCAATGGAAAGGTCCTCTGCCACATTAGCACTTTAGGTAGCTGTTATAAAAGAGATGACAGGGCTCGAAAAAAAACCCGTCCGGTTGTCTGGGACAAGTAGATTTTCCCTTCGGGCAAGTAACTTTCTCTCCCTACTTGCCCCATGGGCAAGGACCCAGGCAAGCCGTTCGCCGACTAAATTTTTGATAACAATTTTGAGAAGAAAAGGTAAATTTTAGGCTCAAGGGTAATGAAGTGTTTAGATGAAGCTTGAAGAAAATTACAATTTATAGCGTTGTTTTGTTGATTGTGCGATGCGCGCTCACAGCTCAGAAGTGGTTGCCTAGCAAGTGAACAAAATCTGCCCCGATCAACTTTCTTTCCAGGATTAAAAATAGCCGCATTGGGCACGAAAATGCTGTGTTTATTTCTTAAAATTTTAGCAATTTTCTGAGAGCATTTTCCAGTTTCTCTGTACAAAACTTAACTCAGCAATGATATATTAAAGCTGTAGAAATTGTACACGAGAAGAAGCAGCATATTTGTACCGCGAAAATGAAGCCAGCATTTTTGATGCTAAAATCCAGGTAAATCTCTGTTTTCGGCGAGACATGCAAGTTTGCTAGTGATAACATACTTGGGCGCCGCCGAGCAAAATGAAAAGTATTACATTATTAAAAAGAAGTGGATAAGTAAGTTATCAAAATACTTTCAGAGTTCCTGGAAGATGACTCAAAATAGCGTTTCTTTCAAACAAAGACGTTTTCCCTTGACTGAAATTATTTTTCATTCACCCAAATGAAAAAATACGCTCTCGCCGGCTTTTCAAATTCGACACTGTGCCTGTGTCAAAACTGAAGTGGGAAGGCAACTTGTTGTTAATTCAGCTGTGTGTTATAAATTTCTCGTGCTTCTCTTTATAATGATTGCGTGGAGCTAGACAAGATGCAGGTAAACATTCAAGGAATTGAAAGCGATCTTCGACAAATTGAACAAATTGATTCAAGGCCGTATAATAACGAAGATACCCAGCGTGTAATACAGGAACTAGGAAGTAAGTACACAAACGAACAACAACAACTTCGCAAACTTTGTTTCTTCAACTGGGAGAGCACTGGCAAAAGATGCTGTGGGACAAAATTTAATTCCTGATGACATTTTTTTTTTATCACGTTTGAAAATTCAATCTGATTATAACAGTGTTCATCCATGTTAATTATTACAAACCGTACAACTTCATAAAAGCGAAATTAAGAAGTTAAAAGTTGTGGAAGTATTACAATATAATGGCATAAACATGAAAGTGATCAGCACTTTAAGGACTACAGTCAAGATNTAAGATCCTTGACAGCTTGAGGGAAATTGAAGCGCAAATGCAAAACCAGCTGTGAATGGACTAAATTTATAATCAAACTACTTTTTCGGCCTTTATTGTATCCTTTCTTTCACTGAAGTATAGGAAATTTTGCTTGTATTGCAGGAGACATTGTGATGCCCAACAAAGGCCGACGCGTTTCCATGCGTATCGTACATCGTCATCATTTCTCCAGTGCTCTAAAAAGAATGTCAGCTATTGTGTCTTTACAAAATCCTGGTTCATCATCCAATGAATATATGGTGACAGTTAAAGGAGCTCCTGAAACTCTCAGACCCATGGTGAGTGTTATATGGTATGGATACTGAGACAAGAGTGTGTGCAGTCAGTGATGTGCCTGACAACAGAGCATACATACTAGCCTCATGTCACTCTCTGGCTTTCCTTGATGACAATTTAGTGGGTGACCGTCTTGAAATGGCAGTGTTACAAGCAGTCAAGAGTTATCATGCATGTGTCAAGAGTTATCATAACAGTCAAATAAACACTTGATCCCCAGCCCGTGATTGTAGAGTAACACTAGTTGTGAAAAAAGAGTATGCCTCAGGCCTGGTGGTGTATAGCATGAAGCAACTTGTAGTTTTTTTTCTTACTCCCTTTGTATAAGATGCAAGCAAGTCCAGTGGAACATTTTGTCTCTAGTATTGCTCCAACCATTTACTATTACCCATTTAGGCATCTGTGTGCAGAAAGGTCCATTTAAAGTTAAGTGTCTTTCCCAAGAACATGGCAAACACGAGGGCCATGTCTAGGCTGAAACCCAGACCTCCAATCCAGTGTCTTACCCAATTACCATAAAACCACTGAGCTCTCTGAGCCACTCAAAGTTCCCATAATCTGTACAAAAGGTTGTTGAAAATAAGCACAGTGAAGAACATTGACAGCCAAATGTTTCCCAATACAATTCATTCAGGTTCAGAAAAAGAAGTAAGATTTGCAATGGTAAAATTTGGTTTATGTTATGTTGCCTTATTTTGCCGTTTTAATTTCAGTACAAGACTGTCCCCAGAAACTATGATGCCATTTACCATAGAATGACTTGCCAAGGTGCCAGAGTACTAGCCCTGGGTTTTAAGAAAATTGGAGAAGTGGCAGCTAAAGAGGTGTGAAACTGTTAATGTACTGTTGCCATTACTTCGTTATGAAAGACGGAAACTATTTAAGAGTTCTCTTAACCGGCGAAATTGAGTCAGACATGTACACCATAAACTGCCACTTATGAGCCCGCCCTCTTATAAGCCCCTCCTCCCCCTCCCCCTCCCCTGGTTGTANTATTTAAGAGTTCTCTTAACCGGCGAAATTGAGTCAGACATGTACACCATAAACTGCCACTTATGAGCCCGCCCTCTTATAAGCCCCTCCTCCCCCTCCCCCTCCCCTGGTTGTAGTCACGTCTACCTGTAAAACAAAATATTTCTTCAAATATTTCTTTTGATTATAAGCCCACCCACCCACCCTGGCTATTACCCCCCTTTAATTCTTCAGTCCAGGATGAGACATTAATCTTTTGTAACTCTCCTATATGATCTCTCACAAATTTTGTGTTTTCGTAATTGCTCTTCCAATTACACGATTGATTTTACATTTAGGAATTCTTTGGGTAATTGCATGCCAATCTACCAAAAAAGAGGTACTTCCTGCCCCTACCACTTACAGCTGTAGGCTGTCACATAATCTTTTCTCCAAAAAAGGATCACGTGGCTTACTTAAAAGAATGCTGGTACATCTTTAGAAGGTTTTTTGAAGATTATCACTTTATTTTTTTGTGACAGATCCGTGACATGAAGCGCGAGGAGTGTGAATGTGATCTTCAGTTTGCAGGATTCGTTGTGATAGCTTGCCCACTGAAGAGTGACTCTAAAGCGGCCATCAAACAGATCCAAGAATCTTCACACCATGTAAGGATAACTTCTGAATATAGGGTGAAAAAAAGTCAGATAGTAGTAAGCCATCAAGAATGGTTTGGTTTTGTTCAATTGTACATGACAAATGAGTAAAAGCTCTCAAGAAGGGACAAAAGCTAATGATGACGAGAATAGAAATGGAAAGCAATATGGAAAAAAAAAAAACTAAACTGATCCCATTTTTGTAGTCAAGCATTACACGAATTCCTTGGAAGTTTTGCAAATTTATTGCAATATTACATAGTTCCCTAGATTTCAGGAAATTTGTTTTACCACTAATTACACTTCCGGTCCCTTATATCCTTATATCCTTTGATCCATGATGGCACCAGATGAGAAGACCACAAAGCATTGCTTTTCTTGCAAAAAATCTCCTTGTTGGTGTGGGCAAAGAGTTGTTTTAACTATAAAATCTGATTCAGTGTGAAGAGGAGTTCTAGAAAATCACACTTACTTCATGTTTTGTTTTTACACCAAACAGCTGACCATGATAACTGGGGATAACCCGCTGACTGCATGTCACGTGGCTCGTGAACTTCGGCTCACCAGGCGTGAAATTGTTGTTCTGTCACCTCCTGAGAACACTAAAAATCACGGTAACGTAACTGTTATCTTTTCCACTTATTGGTTCAAAATGTTGTCAATGTTGTAGTGGTAAAGACATGTAATTGGTAACTCTGTGGAGGATATACAGTGTCAAATGATAGAGTGGTGTTCTGTAAACTTCAGTTCGTCAAACAGAAGCAGAAGTTATCTTAGAGCTCATTTTTGCAAAAAAAAAACCTCAGATGATAAATAAGTCCTTGTGGAGTAAAAAACCGATCCAAATTCGAGATAAAATCACGTGACTACTGAAAGCGTGGAAAAAGTTGCAATGACGAAACGATTAGATTTGGCTTTGAATTTGACTGAAATTATTTTATTCTGATCGGAGTTCACATTCAAAGTATAATCGTTGTGCCCACCATTCTCCTCTCTGCAGTAGAAAGCGAGTGGCACTGGCAGCCAGTGGATCGCTCGTTCAGTCTTCCCATCATTCCATCCGGCGGTATCAAAGAACTGACCTCCAAGTTCGACTTGTGTGTTACTGGAGAGGTAAGTCGTAGGTTAGCCCAGGTCACCTACTTTCATTGACTTGCGACTGTTTAGCCAGCACTTGTGTAACTGTTTCCTTGTACTCTGGCTGCGCTGATATCAAAGTTAGCGGAAATTGTATGATATTGTATTGTACTGTCAACGTTTGACTGTCCCAAAGAACCAAAATCGACATAAGTTGATATTGTTTTTAACTTATGTCGAGACGGATCCGTCAGAAACATTTGAAAATCATGGATTTTTTTTCGACTTGCAAGCTCTTGAACTACCATGCCAGTCCGCTTTGTCATACGGCTAAAGTCTGTATGCAGGTTTATATTTTAGAACTTGTGTCGACTTACCAGTCTATTTAGCGAAGGATATTTACGTTGTTTATCGATTTTTCGTGTTGTAAAATCATCTCTACTCTCTCCCCCACACACACTCACTCAATCCTCTTCTTTCCTGGTGGAACATAGGTCGTCCACTAGTGCCTGCCACCTGACCCTATTTTGCGCAGTGCGTTTCACTTCCCGTCACGTGAGCTGTCTCTCCTTCAACTCTGCCATTCTTGTGCGCCTCTAGCTGTGCTTGGGTCTCCCTCTCTTACGCCTTCCCTGTGGGTTCCACTCTACGGCCCTATTGGCTATGTATCCGTCTGGTCTCCTCAGCAGGTGGCCAATCCAACCCCAAGCCCTTTGTCTTCAGAACCATACTGGAGCACAGCCTTCACATTTGACCCAAAGACTCTCAACTTGGTCTTAGTTATCAGTGCCGTAGACCGCCATATTGGTCCTTCGATACGTGACTAGATGTCCTCATCAGTACCTCCCTTATGACGTGAATTCGTCCACCTCCTCGACCCACTCCCTTTCCATCGATACACCATCGCCGCGTTTGGAAGAGATACACATCAGCTTTGAATTTGTAGCAATGATCTTCAGGCCTAGCTTTGCACCTTGCTCCTCCAAGGCCTGTGTCTTATCCCTCATGTCACTGCATTCTGTGCGACAGTAGCGCCAGATCATTGACGAAGTCAAGGGCTTGTAAAGATTTCGTGGAGGACCATTGGATACCGCGCCTCCTGTCACTTTCTCCCCCTCCCTACTTTTTTCTTTGTTGTTCTGTTGTCCCTCGAGAAAGTTTCAGATTCGTTTGGGACAACCTATTGACGTGTTTATGTTGGTTTTGTAGTCATGTGAGCTGAAAGAAACCGCTCATGAAATAATTTTTGTTTTCCTCTCTGCAAGCAATGGCAGAACCAAAATCTTGAAATTTCAAAAAGGTAAAAGTTTAAATCGGTTATCGAGTGCTGGAAACACACGTGTCACTACTCCGGGCATTACTGTTACATTTTTGTGTGATAAAAGTGTTTGTTCTCTGGCATCTAAAGTGAAATCTTTAATTACAGTTTTTTTATTGATTTATCTGCAGGCATTTTCCTACTTACAGTCAACGGAGAAATTGACGAAGTTTTTCCACTCTATCGTTCAGAATGTACAAGTGTTCGCACGCGTAGCTCCTAAACAAAAGGTAATGTCAGTCTGTAACTAAGTAATATTACCGTAAATTGAATAATAGTATTTCATTCTTAGAGGCTTACTTGTCTTTCCTTTACCGTATAGGAGTTGGTCATTACCAAACTAAAGAGCAAAGGTTTTGTTACCTTAATGTGCGGTGATGGAACCAATGACGTAGGAGCACTCAAGCATGCGCACTGCGGTTAGTCTTGAAATGTGTTTTAATTCAGTTTTTATTCATTTATTAATTTAATATTTATTTCTTTATTTATTTTTATTATCATTATCATTATCATTATAATTATTATTATTATTATTATTATTATTATTATTATTTTACTGTTGTCGACCTTTATTATTCAGTTACAATATTGAATTACGATGTGGAGATGAGGCTTGCTTCAGGCTCTCAAAAGTTGGTAAAATATCAACAAGTTTATCCTAGAATTTACTAGCCTGCGTACACAGATGGATTTTCGCGTCGTAAAACGAATGCCGGAAATTCGCCTGGTTTGCAGGCTAAGAATTTCCCTCTCTGCTGTTTCTTGGCACGTGTTCTTTCTTCGTTTCCTAAACTGATGTTTGAGTGGGTGCAAGGCACAGGCCAATCCAGACCCCAACACAACCTGCATGAAGAGTAAGACTAAATTTTCCGATTGTGGAGTATACTGAAGAAAAACTACCTATCTGTAGTAATAATTCCTTGTTTTATCTTTTAACCATGGTCAACAACAGGTGTGGCCTTACTCGCTGGTGCTCCAGAGAAACTGCCCGAACAAGGCAAGAAAAGTGCGCTGAAATCCAAGGAAGACAAACCCTCCACATCCGTGAGTGCACAGATTTTTTTGCAGTTCTTCCTTTAACTTCTGCATTGAACCTCGTTAAAAGAAATTCATAACCGAGTTAAGAACCAATCAGAGACGTGCATGAATCTCTGCAGTGCTGCGTCATCAAGATGGAATTAATTCTCAAACTTGTTGAGTGAGGAATAGAAACAAGTGCGTGACGAAAGAGGTGTGTCGACCTCTCTCGCTCCTAATACAAGGTTTTTTCAAGAATGTGCAATGCTTTTTACGTAGAGTCTTGTCTTCTCTGTTGTCATTGCAATAGCAGCATCACGCATTACCGTTTTTTATTTCGAACAGAATCAATCAGAGGATAAAAGTAAAAACGATTCAATTAAGATAGTTTCAAGAGGACACCTCCCTCCCGCACCTGCCAAAGGTGCTTCACGAGCAGCTAAGATGCGTGCTGTGGCCAGGGGGGACGACACTGCCTCCACCTTAAAACATGAACAACAGGTGAGCTGTGATTTTTTGCTATGATACCTTTTTTCAGTAGGTCTTGATAACGAACGAATTCCGTCCATTTTCATCCACGGCAGGACCTTTAGATTTAAAGTCGCTCTTTCTGTTTGTTTTATTTTTTAGAAAAAGATCCAGGAGATGTTAAAACAGATAGACGAGGCGGATCAACCCCAAGTTGTCCGGTTGGGAGATGCGTCAATTGCCTCGCCCTTCACTTCCAAGCTGTCCTCTGTCATGGCTGGTAAGTTTAAACGATGTATCAAGTAAACAAGGCAGCGTTTCTGCAAGTCTCGGTGAGGTTTGCGGAAGTGCAAGTGTACACTTTTGTTGTTGGCGTTGGCTGCACACAGGCTAAATTTCGTTGGTATTGTTCATTACGGTCGAACGCGATTTTTGTTGCTTGCGCTGCTTGCAGTGGTTTCATTAAGGGCCGTGCGTAGGGCAAATTGACTGGCTGTAATAATGATTTGACCAGCTAGAAGAAAGTTCTTATAAAGAAGTTCATTTCAAAAAGTTTTGCCTGCCTGTGAAAGCCATTTGCCCTCAGTGCTGCTCAAAACGTTAATGGAACCCCTGGTTACTTGCGAGATGCACAAATCGTATAGGACTTGTATCCTATAGCACCCTTGAGTTTTAAAACTTGTCTCAAAATACTACGAAAATCGTAAGTAAGTCGATTTAAATAGACAATTTAGTCGTATCCATCACAGTTAAACTGACCAATCAGGTTCAACAGACCAGACCGCTTCACAAACACTTTTCACTCGACTCTGAAGATGACTTCTGCTCAGGTTGTCGAAACCAACAACAGTTTTCTTCAGAACTACCCTAAACTAGACGACCACACTAGACGAACTTGTGTCGTAAAGTTGTCGGATGCGATAAAGTTGGGCCGTCTAAAATTCCAGCCTAAATCGGCTCGAAATCCAAGGATGGCCGAATTTATATTAGGGGACGATTTTTCCATCTGAAACGATTTATCCAACTGAAACGGATAAACTGTCGTAGTTTAAATCCAGTGTTGTGTTCAAATAGTCTTCAACTGATTCGTCTGTCAAATCAGTGGAAGACGAATTTTGGCCACATTATTCGTCTAAACACGGGATTTATCCGTCTTTATAGGCGGACAAATTACGTGCCCCGCCCAGAAGGCTCATTCGTCACAGACGGATAACTTGTCCGTAGTATGAATTCGGCCATCAACAGATGTAAAGTTGTCTTACATATCCCTAGTACCAGTACATCACCTTACCCATTTCTTTCTGTATACAGTGCAGTAAAGCATGTCTTGTAATTTGTGTTTTTTCCAGTCTGCCATATCATTAAGCAGGGTCGCTGTACACTCGTCACCACCTTACAGATGTTTAAGATTCTTGCGTTGAATGCCCTGGTGCTTGCCTACAGTCAAAGTGTGTTGTATTTAGATGGAATCAAGTTCAGTGACGGGTGAGTTCACCTATTCACGTGTAAATTCTCCGCACTGTGGCCTCCATCATTGACACAGGACCGGTTGGGAGAAATTGTTTCAGTTCAGGCCAACTTCTATCCTGCGATGCAAGTGTTCTAGTACGAACGAAAGAGGGTTTTCCACATTCTGGCCGCGCTTGCCCCTCCACCCCACTCTCCGTCGATTTTGTGCTCTCGCCCAATTTTCGCGCGACCAGCTGGCGATAAACTCTTCGCTCTTTCACTGTTAACTGAATTTTCCTTTCAGAGATAATGTACCATTTTCTTACCACCTTTCCACTTGACTTTGTCAAGACTGTGGTCTAAGAAAAGTTATGAAGAGCTCAAAGGCTCCTAGCCATGAAATACTGGGTGCCCGGCACTTAAGCTTATATGAAAAAAGGCAAAAGTTAGTCACCTGTGGCACCCAGGCACCTCTAGAGCACAGCCCTGCTTTGTACCAACGTTTGCATGAGTAATTAGGTGCATATCACTCTAAGGAATGAGAGATAGGGAGTGATTTTCATAAGATGTTAACTTTCTTCAACACCAGTCTTGTACTTCTCTTGCAGACAAGCTACGTTACAGGGCGTTTTATTAGCTGGATGCTTTTTGTTTATTTCACGTTCTAAGGTGAGACAAGGACCTTGGAATAAACCTTGCCAAATTACCCCTCGCTAGTTTTATATTTTGCTACTCCCCCTGACTGTCTATTTTGTCTTTTTCAGCCTCTTTCGTCTCTCTCCAAGCGTCGGCCGTTACCGAATATATTTAACCTGTACACTATAATAACTGTACTATCCCAGTTTGCTGTTCACTTCTGGGTTCTCATCTTTATGGTACAACAGGCAAAGCGACTCACCCCTAGCATGTAAGTATTGTCTTTGTGCGCACATGTAATGCATGTGCCAAGCTCAGACATTTAGCTTCACATATTTTCCCTGCCCCTACAATTCGCCGAGAGAATGAGCGGGGTTTGAGTTTAAGGTGGCTCAAAACAGTTTACAGCAGTTAGATTTTGATCGGTGGTTATAACCACTCTTTATCACTTGATGCTACAATCATGGTATCAAAAACTGCCCAATCGGTGGTGTACACGTTATCATTTTGTAGACTCAATAGGTTACCATAGCGATAGTATGACCTGCTAAAAACACCCTTTTCTTTTGTTTGTTTGTTTTTTTGTTTGTTTGTTTGTTTGTTTTTTAAAAACGCCCTTAATTACAGGTTTAGGGGCTTATAACTTAAAAATGACACGGTGAAATTTGTTTATATTATCAAATTTTAGTAAGCATGATAAGACGCAACTTTTGGCAAAGTTTTAAAAATTTCTGTATATAGGGTTCAAAGCTACCTTAATTTTTTTAACTAAAATCCCTTTCCTTCAAATGTTGATGTTTAACCTGTGTGTGCCTTGCAGGGATTCACGACATATAGACTTGGAGGCCAAGTTTCAGCCCACTATTGTGAACAGTACTGTGTATATTGTCTCCATTGCTATGCAGCTAGCCACGTTCGCTATCAACTACAAGGTAACGACGTCAAATGGGTAGTCAGTCAGTTAAGTTACATCCACAGAAAGACTGCTAAGGTTGAATCACAAACAGTAGACTAAGGATGTGTATCACCTTGTTCTTCGCGGGCTCAGGCTTTTGTCGGGCTTTGCGAAGAGCCTACTCGCAAGCTAGTATCATCTCTGTGTGACTGTAGTTTGGTGTAGGTGGACTGACAGATGTCTCTAAGCAATGTGATCAAGGGTTTGAAAATTGAAAAATCCTAAAAGAAAAAAAGGCGTTGAATTATGTTTAAACTGTACGAATCGAGTCGGTTCTCCTTATGTTGTCGCTATACTTGTTGTTTTGGTCATAAGCCATTGCCGAGTTGCTTTCCATCTCGGTTTCAAGACAGACGCGTTAGGCTGGATTACCAGGAGCCCGCTCTCCTCCTCTCTCCCTCTTGCTCTCGTGGTGGAACGTGGACTGGACTCGAGAGAGCGGCGGAAATAGAGCCTAGACAAGTCTTGGTGGACGCTTTTCAGTTGGCTATGAGTTTTACTTGCACGTTCATTGTCTTGAAAATCAAACTTTTCCACACCAGGACCTGTTTTGAAACTAAGGTAGAACGCAACCTGGAAATGGCTTATTCAGTTACATTTTATTTGATGTACCACATGGTAACCCGTTTATGGAGAGCCTTCTATGTTTAATTTCAATGAGCTTTTGTCTTGTTGTATTCCACTGTCACCCGTTCATGGAGAGCCTCTCATGTTTAATTTCAGGGAACCTTTGTTTTTTTACATACCACAGGGTCACCCGTTTATGGAGAGCCTCTTATGCGTAATTTCAGTGACCCTTTGTTTTTTTACATACCACAGGATCACCCGTTTATGGAGAGCCTCTTATGTGTAATTTCAGTGACCCTTTGTTTTTTTACATACCACAGGGTCACCCGTTTATGGAGAGCCTCTCATGTTTAACTTCAGGGATCCTTTGTTTCTTTACATACCACAGGGTCACCCGTTTATGGAGAGCCTCTCATGTGTAATTTCAGTGACCCTTTGTTTTGTTACATACCACAGGGTCACCCGTTCATGGAGAGNTTGACATTTTGGTACAAAGCAACCCGAACCAAACTTGAAAACGGTTTTAAAACGCTTTACGTTTTCAAGTGAAGCCGTGCTGTAATCATGCAATTGTCATGTTCAAGTCAGCATCGCTTGCTATTGAGCTGTCATTTGTTGAGTTCTATTTTGAACATTCTATTGACTATACCCACATCAGAGCTTGCAAAGATCACTACCAAATGAAACCGTTTTTGTTTAGTTCCTTACGATCTGTAGATGTGTGTTTGAATTTTACGTAAATGCTATGGACGGCGCCCCTGCAACAGAAAATACTGAAATCATTGCGTTCAAATGCCAACAACCACTTCACTTGCTATAATACCGAGAAAAATGTTGTCCAGAAGTGGTCATAGAGTATCTTCAGATATAATATTTATTTCTCAAAATTATCTGTATGGCTAAAGAATTTAGTTCTTTTAAAATAAAATATATTGATTCATCGTGTTTCCTTGTTGTCTTCTGCATATTTTTATGCCACACAGCGAGTAACGTATGCCCGTCGCGAGGGCCGAGGGTTGCAGTACAAGTATGTTTATATTTAATAATATTTTTGGCACTTGAGATATCTAGCATCTTGATGGAGTCAGTTATGCACATGCGGTCATGGTTTAGTCTCAATATACTATTATTTGTTATTTCAATATTTATCCTTGGCGCGCCTAATGAGCGGATGTCGTGATATCATTGTTGCCCCGACGTTTTGTTCATTGATGCAGAACGTACACATAAGCCTCAAGAACAAAGGAGTTGCTTGGTGACCAAGTACGTCCTCATGGAAAGTTTTGAGAGTACGTGACGCGTTTGAAAAGTTTCTTGCGATTGCTAAGGACATTTTGTATTTGCACAAAGAGTGAAAAATCTCGTTGATACGCTTGTGCACGTCAATGTACTTTGAAGAGAGCAATGGAGTCCTTTGTGTGAGTGACATCTCGGCGGGTATTTGAGGTTACATGGAAAGGGCGTGTGTAAATGACTGCAACATCATTCAACGTTTACAAAAACATGTATCAAGCGGACTAAATTGAGAAAGAAACGTGAGGCTGGAAGAGCTTAGACATGGGTGCCATAGTCTCTCATCGCAAGGGCCAGAGAAGAATATCGCGAGTTGAGCAGAAGGCAATGTAAGTTAGATTCCTTCTATGTTTGTACTGATCGAACACGATCGAATTCATAATATGCTAATTACAATTAGCGTGTTTGCTTGTGAAATGTCAAGAATCAAATATAAATTCGTTTTATTAAAGAGACCCTTAAAAAACAATTTCATAACAATTCATGTTTATTTCATTTATCTTTGAAGAGCGGTCAGTGCATTCTCAACACAATCTGCAAAAGAGGATGAAAATACAAGGCAGGAACAGGAAAGTGCGTATAAATTAATTAACAGTTGTCTGAATTCACTCGAGCTGTTTATTGAGTGTCGAAATTATACAAAGAAAAGTACGTGATTCATCTTTTCTTTAAAATACCAGCCTTCTTGTATTTGTTCTACACAGTTTTGTACAGCAGACTTAAACTCCCGTGTCGTACTGTTTTAATACGAAGTGATGTTTACTGACTACTTTGTTAATTGATATCAAGCATGCCCAATATCTCAACACAAAGAAAATAAGCTATAAAGCCTTTGAGTGATATCAGGTTCAATATTAAACTGGATCATCGTCAGGAAGATGATTGTCTCAAAGATAGAGTTTTCTGTTCTCTCGTAGAGTAGCAAGTTTCATTTTCTAAACTACTAATTAAGGTAACTGGGTACATGAGCTAATCCCATTACAAAATGCTATTAATAATCCATCAGGCATCGAATTTGCTATCAGCTTACTTCAAGTTCATTTGATACACTAGCTAGCTACTTATAATGCTTACAATTGCTGGGGCTGATACAGGATTTTAGAGAAGGTTGTTTGATTTCTGCAGATACACCACATTTTCCATCATCTTCCCACAGTGATGAACATTAGTCAAACTTTGTACCTGATCCTGGACTGGAAATAAATTTTCATCCCAGTTCTTGCAGTGAGCCAGCAGATTTCCTGCAAGCCTCAGATTTCGTACAGAGAGTCAGATAGCTAGTATGCAGTATGCTTATATCTTGCATACTATTTAAATTCATTCACACAGTTAACAGCAGTGTACTTTGTCCTAGATATTCCATTTTGTCTGAGTGCCTGGAATTGATTCCCCTTCAAAGAATTACAATATTCCTCATTATTTTTAAAGAAAATTATTTATTACTAGTTATTCCTGTCTCCAATCTTCATTAGCACCTGCCCAGCCACCGGCTCAACAGAACAGTCTGGCCACAACACGGAGCAGTACCAATATTGCAGTGGCATCATGGGGTGAAGGGATAGTAGGCACATCATCTCATGCCTTGCATGATAAGGGCGTGATCTCATCCAGGGGTGTGGAACGTGAAGTAAAATCTAGCAAAGATATGTACCCATCATTAAAGCCCAAAACACCTGATCCAAACAAGAACATTGAACTGTATACAGGCTTCGCTACAGTGACACCAATACCAACACAACCAGACAAAGAAGAGGCAGCTATAACCATACAAAGGTACTTCATAAAGATCTTTGATCTTGTCAATTATGTGATTTTATGTTTAATGATAACCTTGAATGCATGATAAAGTATATCCAAGTGTTGTTTCAAAATGTATAGTCTACCAAATTCACATCAAAGGCAAATCTAGAAATCAGTGGGAAAATGGCATTTGCATTCAAGGGTTAGGGTCTTACTGTTTAGATTTTTATTTCTAATTAACTAACAGGATTTATTATTTATGTCACAGGCATGTGAGAGGGTATCAGTCCAGGAAACTACTCAAACAGCAAGAACTTTCAGCTAAAATTATTCAGCGGTATGTATGTATTCTGATATTCTATATGTTTGTTTTGAAATATTATTAACTTGTTCTCAGTTACTTTCTTGGTTAACTAATTCATCAGCTGTGAAATAGTTGCACAGCAGTATAATGCTTCCATTAATGACAAAAAACATGTTTAAGTCTCCATTTATCCCCTTAAAGCTAAGGGAGGAAACCATGTTGTTAGATAATTGAAGCCTAAACATTCTATGAATGCACAAAGTCTGGAGACAAGCACTTCTAATTAGCTGCTTTTGGGTTGTGTCATGATTTTAACATGCATTGCAAAGGGTTTTTCATTGGTGTGGAATTGTTCTTATCAACTACCAGATGATTTTCAATGATCTTCCTTTGAAGACTGTAGAATGCACATGATAAAATAAACATTTCTGTTTTCTGGGTATATTGCTTGTCACTCGCCATTAGCATGCTTAAGCCACCCCCTGCTTCACTATTGTAAAAGTAAGGGTACATGTAATTCAAGTTATACAAAAACATTCATTTTGATGACCTGCATTTAACTCATCAGGGGCTACCGGAGGCACCAAAAAACAAGAACTGACAAAAGTGATCCAAATCAACCAGGCACTTATAAAGAGGATGAAGATGATAGTGGTAACGACAGTGACGATAACGACAAGAGGAAGAAGTCTGAATACAGGAAGCCATGGAAGGAGTCAACTGTTGCTGCTCCTATCATTGACTCTGATGTAAAAATTGGTAAGATTGTATTTCTAACTAGATCACATTACTTTAGCAAAATGGACCATCAAAACAGTCAAATGAGAAGCATCCTGCTGAACTGTATAACACATGAAGTTGTATAAAGCTATTGTAAAAGCCACTTGAAACCCCACATTCCTTTCTCTCACATAGTTGTGTATATACCTGCCATGTATTTTCTCAGGGGAAAAAACTAAAGAAGACTTCAATATGTACCAAGAGGACATTACAGACTTAAAGTGGAAAACAGAACAACAGGTATGTAATAGTCATGGTCACCAGTATTATGTGTGGGGCTCTGGTCATGCAGTGTAAGTGGCATACAAGCATACATGCATACATACAGATGTTGTACGGACAGTTGCGTGAAGTTTAGCTTAATGGGTTACCAAATTTCCTTAGGTATGGGGCTCTCCTCATGTGCCCTCAATGCACAGGAGCACCTTCATACATCATAACAACTACTAATTTGATTCCTTTGATTGAACTAGTTGGAGATGACAACAATGGGAGATGATTATGTTCCTCCACGAATAGTGGTAAGTAATATTGTGAGTGGTTATAATAGCAATTATGCATACATTTACTGTTCTTTTTACATAATTTTCATATTTATTGTTTGAAGCTCTCTACTCCCTCTTGTTCTCTCTCTACTATTTCCATTTAAATATAATTTATGGTCTCCACCAGTGATTTTACATATCTAGTGATCATCACTTTCATAAAAATGGGAAATGGGAATCCTCTTCACTAAGAACAGCTTTACCATTACAATGAAGATCTAGTGGCAATTTTAATGGACTCTTCTGAATTAAATTACCCAAGGTCATTGCCTCCAATGTTCCAAGATCTGATGTGCTAGAAAAGATTGTGAGAGATGATGTTCTCAAGATAACTTATGTAAGTAATTATTAATTTATTACATAATTTAGTTATTATATAATCTGATAGTGTACGATATATCTCGGTCAATCAGATTGCAGCATCTGCATTAGNGGAAATGGTTAAACTGACCAATGAAGTTGATGTCCCTCAAATCAACATAGCATCGCTTCACAGGCAGACTGTATTCAATTTGGTACTTTCTCCTTTAAGTTTAAGGTAAAGCTTGCTGTAATATAGTTACACATGACACAGAAACTATCCCTCAAAAAGAAATATGTTCTGTCATTATTGTAATAATTTATTACTTTTGGTAACATGCTACTTCCATTTTAGGCAGAGAAATGCTGGCACTCTATTTTGATTATGACAAGTACAAACTATGGAAAAGCAGAATGCACTCCAAGGTTTCATTCAAGTTGTAATTTTAAATGCAAAGCCTCTACTTGACAAATCATTGCAATTATTATTATTGAGTTTGCTAGTCTACTGTATAATTTACCTGGATATTGTAAACTACACTCTATTTATTTCGCACATATTTTAGACAAGTCAGAACAGTGAAATTGTAAATAAATAATAATATAGTGTTCTCATTGTAAGGTAGCCTCAAATTGGAAATTAAATGAGTGGGTTGCAAGTTAGGATATTTTGATCAGTAGGTCATCTTCACTTCATTAACTAAGCCCCATAAAACCATAATTTGCCATGTGGTTTTACGGTTACATAAAGTAGTTGTCAACAATGGTTCTGACCTTCTCTAGTGGAATAATTCTTGAGATGAAACATACAAAAAAAANAACAAGGTTTTGTAGAAAACTGAAATAAAGCTCAATGCAACCTCGATAGAAGCTCACTGTAAAGTCATAGACAAAGCACTAAAATATTCAAGTTAAATTTTTTGATCTCAGCTGTATCTTAGAACTGACCATTGCAAACACAGTACAGAGAAATCTTGTCTCTTTTTTCACTTTATTTATCACTGTATTTCTCCTCAGATAATGGTTCAGTACTTCTGAAAAAGTACAATCTTAAGTGAACTCCTCGAGCTGCGAAAGGCAAACAAATTCCGCGAAAATTTAAATTTCAAACTCCCCTCATGTTTGATCACGAATCAGAACGCAATAGAAAATATAAACTTCCTATATAAGTTTCCTAACAGAAATTCCATTTGGGGCAATTTCACACAAGAATAACACGGACTACGCTGGAGGAGTCAATAAAAGGATAATCACCTTTAAAAGCTTCACTTATTTTGGATTTAGAAGCCTTACCTCGCTGTCGGCAAAAACACAAACGTTCGCTGTTGTCTCCTGTGGATCGCCATTATACATGTCTTTTCCGTCGGTTATGATGGTTCCGTACAGAAAAGCTAGCTCTTCGCTGTCTGGGTGATGCAGCCTAACTTGACTTTTGGCCGCATTGGTGATCACATTGGCAGCATCCACGATCTCATTTATTCGGGAAGATCGCACGTCAACACCCAATCGGTCTCCAGGGACGATGGCGTAAAAAGCACCTCCAAACCCAATGTCAACTTTCACTTTGCCAAACTTCTCCGTGTTGATCTCGACGTCAAGCCCAAACGCAAATGCAGGGACAGAAACGAAGCGAACACGGCCTGATTTTCCTTCTTCTATATCGACTAAAGCTTTCACCACGCCGCAAGGACACTCGATAAACACAGGTACTTCACCAACACTCGAACGCGACACGTCTGTGCTGAGAAGACCCGAGTCGACAGCGTATCGACCAAGAGCGATAACAGCGTGTCCACACATCGTGCTGTACCCTTCGTTATGCATGAACAGCACTCCCAAATCGGCCATTTCGCTGTGTGGTTGGACGATCACAGCGCCATACATATCATAATGTCCGCGAGGTTCGAACATAACCAGCTTACGAAGGTGATCGAGGTGTTCTCGAACGTACCGTCTTTTGGCCAAAATAGTGTCTCCTTTGATCTCGGGGTAGCCAGAAACTATTATTCTGAGCGGTTCGCCTCCTGTGTGCATCTCAATTGTAGAGATTTCGGGGCCGTTTTCCTCCATCGTTATTGAAGTCAATGAATGCAACGAAAGATTCGAACAAATTCAGCTGATTTCCAAACGTCTAGACTTCCGGTCGGTGGACCTAGCGCGCGCATGTCCAGCTGTTAAACAAAAGGGCGGGAAATAATTAATCCACAGCAGGAGTGACAGCGGGTAGGGACCAGGCTCAATCAACCACTAATACTAAGTGCCCAATCGTCAAATTATTTCTCCTTTTATTTATCCTTATTGACATTTTATACTTCTATAGCACTGTCGCCATTTTATCTCTCGAATATTTGTAGCGTAGGTTTCGTTTCGTCTTCTTGAGAATTGATTAGAGTGATCAGTACGCTCAGACGCCGAACTTTTCATGAGCCGAACCTAATACGTTGAATTAAGTACATGAAAAGTTCGGCGTCTCAATCAGTTAAGAACGGCTATTCGAATTTGGAACAGCTCAGCCGGGAATTTCGGCTTTGGAACGGCTTTGATTCAGACGTCGAAATGCATATACCTTGCCTGGAAACCGCTGACCTTTCGATGTCTTTTGGTTCAAACTAAATTAAGTTCGGTGAATTACCAAAAAATTCAAAACTCAACCGACAAATGCGTTTTTCGCTGCCGTCAAGCAAATGTTTGGCGGCTCCTCCCAGCTTCCGACTACTGCCGAGCGCGCGATGATCAAATGATTAAGCACAGTTCAGACAACGAAACAGTGCTCGGCAGTAATCGGAAGCTGGGAGGAGCCGCCGAACATTTGATAGTCTGTCGCGAAAAACGCATTTGTCGGTTGAGCTTCGAATTTTAGAGTCCGCATGTTATTTAAAGGCGCAGTAAGGTCGACGTCTGAATCAGCAGGCGTACTTTTGATAATTTGGTCGGTCCAAACTGGAATAAAGTTCGGCTCACGAAAGGTTCGGCGTCTGAACCGGGTCTTATGGGCCTTATGGAAGCTTAGCAGGACGGTTCGAGCAATAAATTTTTCATTTATCGTTATGAATGTTGCAGCTGTAAGGTTGGATTGACATTGAACCAGTTTGAGACTGCAAGGGCCCATGCCAGTAAATTCGACAGAGCTCGACAGACGTTGTGAGGTAAAGCATCTCTTCATGGAGCATGTGTTAAACAAGTTGAACCAAAACTGTTTCATCTTGGGCGTGCATAATACCGATATGCCGATAGACCGTTCACAGTCCTCTACTTTCCCGTACAGCATTTTTATTCGATTGTTAAACGCGCCGGTGGATCAGCGAGAGAACTGAACGGCTCGCTTCGTTCGCCTCCCCGCCCCAACCCCCGCGTGCTTCGAGTTCACTTTGCTCGCTTTTTCTTTCGCGTGCATTGAAAAACAGAGAAGCCGTGAACAGTCTAATATGCCGATGTTCATACTGGTAATGCATGTGAGTTCATCCCGCTACCCTCTTGTGGCTCTGTATTCTGATATGAGGCCAACACAAAATCTCATACCAGAACAAGTCTTGCCCGTGCAAGATGACCCCTGTTGTTGTACCTAGTCGGGATTTTCATTCCAGTACGAAGACTCGCACGGGTGTCATCGTTCGGTATCCGGTCGTTTGGTCCCCAACCAGAAATCGGAAACACTGTCTATTTCTCGTTCTTTAATGAGGGCTTATTGGCATTCTGGGTGGGAGCTAACGGCCAGACGACTAGCGGCTAGTCGACTTGGGTGATAAACGACCGTTAACCCATCGTTCAGTTAGTTGGGAGACAACGCGAAACCTATTTATTGTTCTCCGGTGGTACTCTCCATAATGGCCTATACGGGGAGGCTCCGCCTGAAAGGGGTACGGAACACCAGAAACTGAGGGTATGTCGTGGGAGACTTCAATATTGATGTTAGCTGCCATTATGGAAGACCTTTCGCCAAGATTAGGGGTGCTTACCATTAAGTACAAAAAAAAAATCCGGAAATTTCGTTTGAAAGTCAAATGGATCAGTAATTTTCCGGAAAATCCGTTCGAAAATTGTACACTACCTCCAGAGGTAGTCCTCTTTTTCCGTTCGGAACGGAACGGAAAGTTCCTCACCATTTGCTAAATTTTCCAGTTTCCAGTCTCTCAGTAGCCGAAAACAATAACGGGAAATCCAATTGCAAATGGTAAGCGCTATCTCGTTCGGTTGGTTTGCTGATTTTGGAAAAACCTTTACCATTATTCAACGGTCATCCCAACCGGTTTATTCTGACAAATGGTGAGCACCCTAGAACTCGGCTAAGGGAAAACCGCTGACCAGATGATATTTCAATACTAATTGGGTTCCAAGCCCCTCTATCTTGCCAGACTTACATCTTCACTTCCGGGTTTTGCATTTACTTGCAAGAAGCATTTAACAGCTCGATATTCCTGACTGCAATAATACAAACAGCAGTGGAGAGAACGTTGATCTTAGCCTGTATTGGGATTTCCGAACTAAAGGTACGCTTTTGATCAATTGATTCCTTTGCATTAGGTGAAATTTTTCTTAGCAACAGTTTTAACACCGAAATCATCGAGTTACGAAGGATGCGAACATTACGAACACAGCTTGAGGTTAAACGCGCTCGTCTGATCAATAAACGGCCCATTCCGTGTCACAGAATCCTCTATAGCTGACTGATGTTCGGCTAATCAAGTGTTAAACATGTCAATAACTACTACTAAATGTTGAAATTTGGATACACAAATTTGGTATCTTCGAATTACCGAGCTAAATCAAGAAATATTTCATGTACCGAAAGTCCTTCTGCTTTATTCTTGACTTGAATTTTTTAAACCAACAGGCCCGGTCTTACAATAAGATACCGACATACAGCTTGGTTGATTATTGTTTTTCATAAAGCGAACATGCAGCTGCAAGAAACCTTAATAATGTAGCTAACTGGCAAAATTAATTGTCACGCAAACGTATCGGGGTTTTCTGTATCGTTGCAATTTTAATCAATTTTCTGCTCACATATGCCGTTACTTATCGTAAATGGGATTGGAAGGGTCGACATAACACTTTACTCCAAATAAAATGTTATTTGTAATTTAGCCCAGGTTAAGGTAAGATACAATAAACAGACTGTTGTTAATTCGACATAATTACTAGACCATGTCTTTTAAGTTTCTAGAAACAACCAACCCTTTTCAATTTGCAAGCTGGAGACAATTGAATGTTTCAACTTATACCTAAAAACTGTTCGTTTCTACAAGATTCTATAGATAATGAAATTGTGCTAGCAACAAGCAACAATTGTGCTTGGGGCTATGAACATTCAACTGCAGTCGAACCTCTCTATTACTGACACAGAAGGCGCTAAATTAATCGATGAATTAATGAGGCCATGCTTTTGAGTCCGTTTGAGGTCACAGGTATGACTTCATTTCAGTCACGCAGTTCTTTTTAAGCTGCAAAATATCCAAACTGCTCTACGTTAATTTATTCTGAATGCAGCAGAAAGAGGGAACAATAGAAAGCCACAAAAGGTTTCCAGAAAGCTAAGGAAAACGAACTCGGCAAATTCCGCTCTAGAAAAGGAAAACATGAAAGAGTAAAAATAAAAAAATGAAAAATGTAGAAAACATTACAGATATCTTGGCAAATAAGCGTACTCCCTCGCACGGCTGTCTTTCTACTCCTCAGTCACTAACTGATGATTATTTTTTACACAGCCATGGCTTCTGCAAGTTCCTCTCAGACATTCGTGCAATTGACGTCATCAGAGGAAGGGAACTGGCTTTCCCTTGGCCGTGCGTTAACGACAGTTCTTTGTCAAGGTCTTCACCCGTTTATTAAGAAAGAGACAGAGGCTTTCTATAACAATATAAAGGCAGCCATTCCTAGTGGACCCTGCACCTGTGTCTATGATCCGGGAAGGAAACCAAACCGGTATCATGACATGCGCAGCTGCCACTGGGCAAATGTCCTTCAGGGTTATCACCTCGGGAGAGGGCCGAACTGGAAGCAAAGTGATACTTCCAAATGGATGGACCCAAATGTTGGTCCCTGGGAAATAGCCAAGCTTTTTCTCCCCGACATAGGCGGTCACACGGTAATAGAGAGCGTGGAAGACATGGAAATCTCTGCTATTCTCAATTTGATGTTCTGGTGCAATCACTTTACTGTTCAGCGGCCACTGATCAAAGATGTTCGAGATATTCGAAACACGAAATGGGCGCATGTGGCAACGTTGAAGTTGTCTGATGCAGAAAAGAAAGATGCCTTTAAAACGATTGAGAATTTACTCCAAGATCCGGCCTTGGTTAGCGATGTAGGCGCCCAGGGAACCTTGCGACAAATTTTAGCTCTCAAGTCTTCTTCGGATGTGCACATTTTCAAAGCGGAGGTCTTATCTCATTTTAAGGAAGCGATTCAGAAAGATGTCATGAACCTCAACAATGAGTTGAAGTCGCTGAAAAAGGAATCCAAAAGAAACCAAAAACAACGCAGTCGTGTGGAAGGGCAACTGCGAAAACTTCAGAAAACCCTAAAGGATGTGGAAAATAAGCAAAGAGCTTCAATGTCTGTACCACATCGTGTCATCAGTCGCATGTTGTCCGTTGCACATCTTGTCATCAGTGGTATGTGGTACGTTGTAAGTTGCCTGCTCAAAAGTACTCGAGGTGTAAGACGAAAATCGCTCGTCACTTTGCTGATGTTTTTGTTTCTTTGTGGTCTTGTCGATGTCCTGGATCACAAATCACACAGAGATGGTGAGTTACGTCTTCCCTTTATATGTTACAAAAAATAAGGGTAGGAGTGCTATATCAGAAAAAGGAAAGAGCACTCATACTGAAAAATGAAAAGCATTAAGGTAGCATTAACGCATGCTGTCGATCTATCTACTAGGGGGATTAAAATCTGATCTAAAACCTCGGGTTAAAATCTCAAGTCATTTTTAAAATAGCTCTATTTTCAAAGAAAGCATGACCATAACGTAAGGAAAAATCTTCGAGTGAAGAAGTCGAACTTGAGGTGTCCTTCAATGAAGAATCTGAACACCATCATTTATTGTACTCAGCCCCTCATCAACACGCAAATACCTCCCTAACGTACACGGCCAATTCGCTATCACACTAAGTGGAACTCTCCTAAGGGAAGGGTAATTTTTGAGGGAGGAGGGGTAAGTGCAGAAAAAATGCCTCTCAAAGAACCACTAAAAAAAAGCCAAACTAGCCTTTCTTACTTGTGTCTTTGACTGATATTATCATTTGGCTAAAAATAACCTTAAAAATCGTTTTGCTTTTTGCAGGATGTCCTGCAGAAGATATCAGCGTTCCATTTGACAGCAAAGAGTTCAACCTGACAGACTACTTAACTACAGCTCGAGAAAACTTTATCGGTCGTCGATGGCTGTATCAAGAGATAGAAAATGTCTTCTATCCCACCCGGGCGGTCTCTGGTGTCTTGATTATCGGGGATCCAGGGGCTGGAAAGTCCGCCCTGTCTGCCCAGTTGGTATGCTCACGAACATCAAGTCGTACGATCCATGACCATGTATTGGGGTACCACCTGTGTAAGCACTCGGACAAAAATACACAGATTGCAGGCAAGTTTGTCCGTAATTTAGCTGAGATGATAGCTCGAAGATTGCCTGAATATGGTTACGTTGTCTCAAACAGTTCCCACATTCAGCGTTCGTTAAACACTGACTGTGTCACCATTCAAGATCCAGTAGGATGTTTTGAACAGGCAGTCCTGTTGCCCTTAAAAAGCCTGACGAATGTACCTAAAGATAACTGGTATATTGTCATTGATGCCCTCGATGAATGCCTCACTCAAAGTGAAACGAGCCACAGTATCGTATATCTACTCAATAACAAGCTTCCGCGGTTTCCATCGTGGCTGAAGCTTGTAATGACTTCTCGTAACGAATCAAGCGTTTCGTTACACTCAGATAAAATAACGAAACTAGTTATTGATCCTGAAGACCCCCGAAACATCGACGACATAGAGCTGTTTTTGTCAGCAAAATTTTACCAAGATGGCTCTTTTCTTCGTCGAGTGAAGTTTTGGTTTGGAGACAGTGGTATAGAAAAGACCGCAAAGTTGATTTCTGTTCTGTTGAGAAAAAGTCAAGGAAATTTTCTTTTTGTCAAGGAAATGCTTCATCACTGGGAAACCTCAAGGGTCGCAAGAAGTGATCCCTATGCACTGCCGGAAACCTTAGGAGAATTATACCACAGTTACTTCCAAAGATTGTACGATCGACGGGTAAGGTTCAAACCTGTTCGACAGGTGTTGGAATTAATCGTGTCGACGTTTCAGCCACTAACTCCAAAAGACATTTTCCAGATTCTCAAAATAAAAGAAACAAGCCTTGAAGAAGACTACGACTTTAAAGATAGAATGCAAGAGCTTGGACACTTTCTGAGATACGGCGAAAATGACACAGTAACACTGTATCACCTGTCTTTAACCGAGTGGCTGACAAGCGACAGCAACAGGAATGGTCAATTTTA